AATAATAAAATTTAGCAAAAAATTGTTGATTGAACGAAATAACAACAACAACAACAACTAAAGTCAACAACAAAAGACTAAATCCACATAGCGGCATGTGCGCCAATATGTGCTAAGCGTTGTGAAAATGGGCGTGCGCAGTAGCAAATGCATTTATAGCGGGTGGCTGACAGCTAACTAACGATGGCCTGCATAACCGCCTCACCGCATAGTTGGTGGCGCAGCAGTAAGCAGTTCCAATGCCATCAGCCGTCAGGGCGCATGGTTAGTATGCACACTTCTCGCTTGACATTAAAACGCTGGGCGTTTATTACAGTAGCACCTTGCGCATTTACATTCCGACACCTATTCACACCACATACATACATACATCTACACACGCATGCGAGTCAAGCGTTTCACATTTTCTTTAATTGATTTCTTATTGATTATTAATTATTTATAGAGAAACAACTCAGTATTATATGAAATTTTATATTCAGTTACAAAGAGCGACTAGCTGGTGTGCCAACCGTTATCGCACACACACATACTCATCTTTTGAATATAATAAAGAAATCAGATTATAATGAATAAACTCATTTATATACTACATATAAAATGCCAAGTCTAACAGCTTAATTCAATTTTAGTAATACAGACGTAAACAAGTAAGGAAAGGCTAAGTTCGGGTGTAACCGAACATTTTATACTCTTGCAACTTGCAAAGATGAAAGGAAGGAAAGTATCTTCAGGTTTTAGGAAAACTTTACTTACATTAAAAAATGTTGCCAAAGAATTCAACATTCATTATTCGATGAAATCGTAAATGGATTACAATCAAATTTGTATTTAATTAAGTTATGTTATAGGTCACAGTCTCACTTAGTTTTATTACTGTATTTTACTTGTACTTCATGTCAGCTAAAATTATATTAAAATCATCTTCAAATGAGATATATTCGATATAACCTCAACTGAAGAAGCTAAATCTAATATAATGAATTGATGTGATGATGATCACAATTCATTATATTAGGGATATAAGGTTTGGACCAAAGTCTCGACCAATTTCATTCATATTCCCAGACAAGTTTTGAGAAAACTTGTTCATTTACTTTTATTGAAGTATCACACATTTTGTCAGTGAAAAGTCGGAAATTATTATACAGGCTATATTGGGGGCAGAAAAAGGAATGGGCTGATTGAGTTAGTTTTGACATTGACGCAATATTTGGAAGGTGGTTGGGATTCACATATTTTCTGCATTAAACTATAATATATCCAATATAATAAGTTCAGTAAATCTTGCTAAGATGTCTTACATATTGACTGATATATATGACATACGGCCAACCGGAAGTCTTGAAAATCTTATATTAGGTATATGAGAGATAGGGGTATTAACTCGATTTTATCTATTTTTGTCAATACAACATACTATTTACAGAATAAAATGCTCCCTGAGTTTCATTCAGGTATGGGAGTAAGGCAAGTTTTCAGCAGATTTTACTCATTTTAGGCATAAAAATTGACCATTATGAGGAAAATACATCCACTTAATTTTATTAAGCAGTAGCTCATATATTGGCCGATATATGCCGCGAACAAAACTATTATACTATGTAGAAACATGTTGCAAGAGTACAAAACGGCAGTGAAACAAAGCTTGAAATGTCAACATTTTGCTTATCTCCAATTAGTAATCATTATATATCGCTTAATTGTTACAAATTTCAATAGAATCAAACGCAAGTCATTGAAAAATTGAAAATTGTTTGATGATCACATGTAAGATGATGCATGCCTATAACTGCACACATGTTTGAGTGTGTATGTGTGTAAGTTTATGAGAAAGAAGAAAAAAGAGTACACAGTCATTTCGGAAATTTCCCGCGAAGAAATATAAAAGTATAATTAAAAGAGCAAATTTTCCCCAGTTGGCATTCGACAGCCTTAAATTTGCAAATGGCACTAGTAACTAACTGTTTTTGTATGTGTATAGTTGTGATGTATGGATGTCTAACAAATATATCACTGTTTCTTTATAAACAATTTATTTCGGACTTTTACTTAAGTATATATTACTTATATACATATATGTATAACTGCAAACCTCTCCACATTAACTGACTGTCAGTCACATTAAGAAGTAATGTACAAGTACTACTCCGTCTAATTACTCGAATCAGACTATCAACCTTTTGCCATTTTCGTTAAACACATCCGTAATGATTAAAACTCGATCACATATCAAGCATTACAATGCACATACATGTATATGCAACTTATGAGTGTGTGTGTGTGTGTACAATAAAGTTTGGATTTCTTATGATTTGGATATAGTATTCTTGCTTTTTTGCTTTTTGTTGCCGCCAATTGTTCGCAACCAGCTTATGTTGATTAATTTATCAAGTGATCAAACACACATACACATATAATAAATGTGTTGTACAATGTGTGAAGAGTTATGTTGTTGCTGCATTGTTGTCAATGTTACTTGCCTACTTCTCACTTATTTATTTCCAATATTGCTTTTGTCATTTACGACCATAAATAGTACTGATAATGCATTAATTGTATTGAAAATGGAAAATAACAAAATAATTGCACACTGTCGCCTCTAATGCTTTATGTACGCGTATGTATGTATTTAATTGAAGTGACCGTTATGAGGAAGAGAAATTCAGGAAACATACTAGTCGTTTATCTCGGCAGTATTAGTTATTTGTGTTACACCGAAAGCCATTTAAGAGCGACTGACACATTGACTTATCACGAAGCCGCTAAGTGGTCAGCTCAAACAGCCATTCAATAGACGAGTTGGAGAAAAATCACATTGTTTGAGATTAAGTTGTAGTACGGGAATTGATAAATTAAATTTTCTAATATTTTTCAGTATTACATGTGTTTGTATGCATGTGTACACCCATCAGCAACCAGTTATAATATTATTATAAGTCCACAATTATAAAAGCAGCAAATTAGGCGCTTAATTATATACATATTCGATTAGCAGATAAATTTACAGCTGCTATAAATAGTATATAAGTAATTAGTCTACAAATTAGTGTGTATATACACACATACAAAAATAACGAGATAGCTGATATCAGAGAGCGGAAAAGGAAAATATCTGGCATAGCTAATTAACAAGAAATCAAAAATTAACATGTTTTTAATAAATTTCGAGCTAATTGTTGTTATTGTTCGCTCGAGTTTCATGACTTTGATGAGTGATGACAACAAACGACCAAAATTGGCGCTTCAAATGGCGAATCAGCTCAACGCTGGCAGCAGACGGGGCTGCGTCGAGAGTGAAGCTGGGAGACAATGTTTGGCCGGCGTTTCATTCTTGAGCTCTGCTGATTGGGCACTAAATTTTGTTTGTATTGTTGTTGGGTAATATATAACAAGATAATTTGAAAATTCGTTTTTCATCGCTTGTTTCATTCCTTTGGCTAAACACATATGTAGGTATGTATATACATATGTACGTCGATATACGTACATACGTATGTATGTAAAGTAGATAATGAGTTGATGGAAAGTTTTCGGGGAAATTTTTCTGTAGCTGATTTGCATTTATTATCGATTTTAAAATGCAGTGACTCCCAAACGCTACGCATTTCGGCGCTTTGTTCATTTTATGCACATATTTTTATATGTAAACCATTTTTGTTTTATTTTCTTCATTAAAGTGTCGACAGTTTGTTCTATTGAAAAATACGCTTTGCATAAAAAAAACAATATGATACCTTTGGGACATTGGAAACGACTTTGCAACTAATTTTTAAATCTTATTTATGCTAAGAAACTCACGTCGTCACTTGTGTACGCATACGCATGTATTTATTATTATCTCATTTTCAGACGACGTAAATTGCTATCATATTTATAAAAAAGTGATTTATAAAAATCATCAAAAAATATTATATACTTATATAAGTATGCATATGTACATATATATGTGTGTCTATCATTTCTTTCATTTTTGCTTGAGAATTGATTAGCCACATTTCAACAAATTTTTATTGCCTTCGCATACTTTGTGCGGTCGGCTACTGCTCGTAAAAGCAAATTTGGCGCCACACCAACAACATAAAATTCGAATTAAAAAGAACAGGACCCGAGTGAAAAAACAAACGGCAAATGTCAAAAATGCATACATACGTACACTTATACACATACACATACACTTGAGCTTCATGAGTTTGTAAGCGTTATTATAATTTTTTCGCAAACATAACGCTACACACACACATACACACACAAGAGCACATTGAGCGGCGAACGCATAAATACAAATGGCGCCAACGCTTTCAAAGCTGAAATGTTAAATATTTATAGTTTTGTATTATTTGCTTGCTACTCAACAATTCGACGCTTCGGCGCCTTCATGCCAGCGAACGACCTCCTCACCTGTTAAGCTTCTGCTTGCTTGCCTGTTACTAATTAACATCAACAGCCCTCAGTTGTGGGCTACCGCTGCCCTCTACCCGCTGTTTAAAGAGTGTTTCACATTAATCTGATAATAAATACGATGTCAACACCATTAACGCCAGCAACAACATCAGCGCAAAAACAACGGCAACAGCAGACAAGCAATAGCATTGTCAATTGACTTATCATCTTAGCGCTACTAACTCAATCCCAATCTCCCCCCATGTGCTAGTGTGTGTGTGAGTAGGCTGATATACCGTATTAGGCTCCAGCATCGTTGTAGGCCGCTCAGCTGACTCGTCGCTAATCAAAAGCTACATCTTGTTTTCATAAGCCTTCATACGTCAGCGTCCTTTTATGTTAGCGACACGACTTAGCGCGATTAGACGCATACATATGTGTGTACAAGTACACATCTGCATGCCGGTAGTACTATTTTTATGTAACATACATATGTACAAGTACATGAGTATTTCTGCTATCAGCAAGTAGCACGTGAATACTAATTTGTCTAAATTTAAAGCAGGGTGCAAACAAAATTATTCAAGCTGAAATTGTTACTCACCCATCGCCCGAACTGTCCCACACACATGTATATACATGTACATGTATGTACGTGTATGCCTATGGTGTGTACGTGTGTCGCGGCCTCGATACTATTGCGTCGAATTAATTCTAACATCTTTAAGAGTTTTCTTCACCAACACCACCTTGAGGATTTATTTTTGAATAAGTTTTAGCGTTTTGTCATTTCTTTGTTGCTTTTGTTGTGGTATAAAAATGGTATTTGCATTTGTCGCTGCTTATGCAAATCGCTGGTCGTTTTCTCCGTCTTTTGTCCCACTCATGTACTTTCGCAGTTAATTTATGTGCCACTGCGGTATTCCGTCGACCCGTCCCACCTCGTCTTTATTGTTATGAGCATGTATAATATGTACGTTTGTTTTTCTGTTCCTTTCAGCGCTGAGGAGATCAGTGGAAGCCGCGCTTTAAGCCGCTATTAAATAGCCATTTGTTTTGAATTTTAGTGGCGTCAACAACGATTTCGCTTATGTTTCTTTCAAAGCCGAGTTTTGGCTGGTCTTTTGTCACTAACAAATTAAATTGAATAAAATTGAATAAAAAGTAATTTACTTTGTTGGTAATGAAGTCATGCAACAGTACTTAAAGAAATTAACAATTCCTGTGTATAATTAAAGAAGTATTAAATATTTTAATTAATTCATTAAAATAATAGATACAAAATATAACATTGATTAATTAAAATCAAAAAAAAAATTAGAAACATATTTTTAAGATAATAAAATATATTTGTCTGAAGCTTTGCATATTTATTGATTCTGTGATTTGGAAAATTATCTACAGTCAAGCTTAAAATTTTAACTAACTAATTTCAATTCCATAGCACCAAACTAACAGCCGAGGTGTATTAAAAAAAAGTACGGGAATTTTAAAATTTACACATTGTACACCTTACACGAGCTTGTGCGTCTACGTGTAATGAAGAAATAATAAAAATGTGAAAAATAAATCAATTATGAAATTTGTTGCTTTGCTAATCAGTCAAAAACCAGTGCAAATATAACGCTGCCGGAACACTACACATATACACATATACACACACACAAATGCATCTGTGCATATGTATGGTATGTACACGCACTCTTGTGTGAGAAGTACGCCTATGACATTCAGCCGCTGTCCGACATCGCACGTCAGTCAGTTGATCAGCCAACCAGCCAATGAGTCAGGCAGTCAGCTAGCAATCACTCACACACTCGCTCAGCGCGATGCCATAGCGTGATGGCAAATCAAGAAGAGAGGCATAAGCAGTGGCGCTAAGGCTGTCACACTAGCACCAAAAGGAATGTCAGCGAAAATATCGATATATATGTGGTTATGTGCATGTACAAGCCACAAAAACATTTAAATTGTACATATGTACATTGACATTTAATTTTTATTTGCGTAATTATTTTGCAGCTGTCATTAATGAGTGCTTGACACTTGTTGGCGCCGCTGTTGCTGCTGGCGAACACATTCGCACACGCCTGCTCACATTGCTGCTGTCAACAGCAATAACAGGGCGCATTGCCATCGCGTCGCCCCACTTTCCCCACTACAAGTGGTGTGTGCCCCGCATTTGAGGCCGCCGCCAATTCATTTGCTAAATAGATATGTAGCAGACAAAAGCAGCGCCGACAACATTGGTAGCGTTGGCAACGACGGCGGCAGAGACAATGGGCATAGTGATTGTAAGCAGCGCAGTGGCAGCATACACATTCTCACATACGTGGAAATCAACAGTTGCGATTAAAGCTAAATTTGTTTATTTATTTAACAAGTGCACTTGTGTGTGTGTGGCGTTCGAAGCAATGGTTATGTAGGCCATTTCATTCAGCATTTCGCGATGATCGACAACACGCTAATCGCGGGGCACGCTGTGTGCGTTAACGAATGTGCGGTTGGTAGTGTTCGCAAGCAGAGTGTTCGCCGTGAAATGAAGCGAATGCGTCGCTGATCGATGAGCCTGGCGTGTGGAAATTTTGGAAATTTGTCAATGTCAAGTTGTGTGCTTTATGAGGCGAATGAGTTGTTGAAAGACTTTGTAAAGACAGAGATATTCGAGAATTATATGTTTATATTATTTATTATGTTTGTATGTGTCTGGTAACTATCAAAAAGGCAGTCACAATAAATGAATTTCCGTCTTTCGTGCCGGAAGTGTTGCCGACTGCGGCTAATCGCTACGTTCAAATTAAGGTGTGTGCTCTACGAAAGTTGAGTGCAATTTTGCATTCGCCGCTGGTAGTAATTTGTAAAACCAAGCACTTCCTACGCTCGCTCTAGCACGACATGCTGTCTATAAGCGATTTTAACATAAGTCCACGCCAATAACATACATACGTACGTACCTGTATCACAAAGTAGTGAAGAAAGTCTAAGTAGGCGTGAAGCGTACCAGCTCTTAAGGGCTTACGAGTTTAATAAGCTTAATGTTGAAAATGATGTTGCACTTGCGAAACCATTTACAAAGTATTGTGTTTGTTGTTTTTTAATTTGCTTTTGTTTGGTGCAACGCAATTTTGCCATAAGACTTTCGCTTGAAGAAATATTTTCATATGGCAGCAGAAAAAGTAATTATAAAAAATTATGCAACAAGCTGGATGCAATCTGCCACACTAGTAATATTGTTTATGCATTGACACAGATTATAAATGAAATGTATGAGTCAATAGCGGGCAGGCCAAAATCACCCATGGCAACTGCCAATTTATTTCTAAAAGTTACAAAATCCTACGCTCGCGCACAAAATAAAAACGACAACCATCCACAAACGGTTGTGGCAATAACCAAAACATATCAAGTAAACGCATCGAAAAAATGGAAAAAGCCACAAACGGAAAAAAGGCGCAAAAACGCCAAACAAAATATGGCTAGAACAGAGTGGCCTGCATGTGACTTGCGTGCTATTGCGTGTGCGTCAATGTGCCCATGCGTCAGTGTGTGCACAGTGCGCTTGGCGGCTGCTAGACGCCACTTTGGCAATTTTGTTGTTGCGTACATTCAGTCTACCTAAAAAGTCTAGTGCTTATTGCCGCTTTATGTGCATAAAACCACAGTTACATACGTACGAACATACATTAGCGTTGTAGCGATGCGCCGGCAACAATTGCGCCCACTTTTTGCCCACTTTGGGCTGGCAACTTATCTGTCTGCCAATTTTGTTGTCGTTGCTGTTGCTTTTGTTCTTACTATTTGTGTCCTCCTATGCCTTTGCAGTTCACTCTCAGTTTTTACTTTTTACACATTTTGATTATTGTTGTTGTTGTTGGTGCTTGCCCCATCAGACAACTTCCTACATTCTCTAATTCAATTCAATCGACATTTGCCCACTTTGCCTGCTTGTCATTTGTAATAGCGTGAGGCCGCAGCAGCGCCGCTGGCCAACAGCTTTGACGTCGAATAGTCGATAGTCGAGAACCCAGACTCGACAGCCGATTTGGTCGATACGTCGCGCACTCTTTTGATTTATTGCTATTGCGTGGTAATTGAAGTAGCACCTAAATGTTTCGCAGCGCCGCTAATGACCGTTTCCTCTCAACTTTTGCGCTTATTTCGCTGTTTCATCTGCATCTTTTTTTGGCGCGGTCGATTGAGCGGATACTAGAACGGTTCGGGTTTGGCGCCACTAAAGATTGTTGGTACATATGTATAAAAATTGTTGTTTCGCTTCAAATGTGACATCATGTAACGTATAGCAAAGTAATGTAAATAGTAACGAAATAGTTTTCGATTTGTTCTCCCTCCCATTCAAGCGATTTATTTCCCTCTCTTATTCTGCCCTCACCGCTTTGTCTACACTTCTATTGTTTCGTTTCCAACACAGCATTCCAACACCCTTTTCCCTTTTCGCCACTATTAATCATCACAGATTTCTCACCTCACATTCTTTCGTTATGTGATAAATACAAAAACAATAAAAGAAACGAAAAATTTTAACACAAATTCACTTCGGCCACAGCCACAACCACAATGCGCGCCAACCAACGACAGACCAGGCGTAATCTTAAATGATTTTCACACCATTTTAAGATTAGCTGTTGAAATTTAACCTCAGGGTCCCTCTGCCAGTCAGCCAACATCCAACAGCCAAAGATAAAAGTATACTTTTCGTTCAAAATGTGTATGAATAAGAAGACAAATGATTTAATTTCAAGCATTCCACCGTTCCGTTGCCTTGACACCTTCGAACGCAGCTCTGCGCTATGCGTCACTTTCCCAACAAGCCTATCTCCGCCTTTTATTTACATATATGTTGCTGTTATGCACAAATGTGTCGTAAAGCATACGGTGCGCGGTCCGTCATTTATCAGTGTGACCACAGGTTGCTTTCTATTTTTTCGATTTCGTTTCTTTAACACCCCGCTGTCCTCTTTGAAGTCATCTCGTTTTCCATTGAAATGTCCGATTTCGACTTGCTTCGTTCTTGTTATTTATTTCACTTTATATTAATTTTTATGTTTTGCTTTTGTTGTTGTTTTCGGCTCGCCCTTGCCTTTTTCGTGTGTGGCACATGCAGCTTATTTCTGGAATTTTTATAACTCCACACGTTCGTTTACATCCAATACAACAATTATTTGGATAATTTTTACAGCTCATTTGGATTTTATTGCCGGTCAATTAGTGTAAATCAATGGTCTGATTGCTTGTGCGGGTTTGTTATGATTGTTGACAGCAGCAGCGTAATGCCGGCGTGTGATAGATTGAACTGTAAGCGTGAAATCACGTTGGAAATCAACAGGGGCCTTCTCAGGCTGTAAAAAAATTTAAACAAATTAATCTGAATTTAAAGTTTAAATATATACCGAGCTATTTACTGATTTTTATGATTCCACATATGTACATACATAGCTAATCAGTTATTGCAAGACCTGCCATGCATTTCGGTCTCCTGTTCAGCTTAAATTGACTTTAATATGTCAAACAGTGGGTTGAGCGTTAACGCGACGACTGTGTGTTGCCATAAACGCCACTTTTCATACCAACAAGAGCAACAAGCTGTCAACGTTTATTACAACGCAAATTGTACGACTTGTTGTTGTAGAAACTAGTAACCATACATTTTCAATATTACTTGGCTTTGACCTATAGATTTTCGCTAGATTTTATGTCAACCCGAAACCGTTACAAACCGTTTAATGCTAGGAAATAATGTGGGAAGCCATACAAAGTTGCCACAAAGCTTTTCAAACGGCCAACCAAGCTTAATTCTACAGTATACGCCTATTTATATTGAATCGTATGTTTTATTGCTTTGGCAACTACTAATTCCCACTTATGGCGAATTAGAAGCGGCTAATGGCAGCAATCTCGTTGCGATATCCAGTGTTGAACTCTTGAACTCATTGGAATTGTGTGGTGAGGAAATCAAGTTTTGATTTTTTTAATAATATAGAAATGATTTCTATTCTCAATAAATAATTTTTACTTGAGAAATTAAAAAGAGTACTTACACTTGGAAAATAATTATTTTAGACATGTACATAGTGTATATAAATACATATTATAACAAAAACCCTCGTTCAAATGCAATCTGTAGTTTTAAAGTTATTATGCTTTCAGTGTACTATGGAAGATAAAGTAGAAAATGTTCGATTTTCTAAATTTAAGCATTCAACACAATTTTTATTTTTAATTCTTCCATAGAAAATTACTTTTTACCATTTTAATTTCTATTTTATTTTCAGTCATGTGAAATAATTTTCCGAATAAAGTAAATTCTAATTAATAAAAACACTTTCAATTCTATCATTAATATTAGCCCCAATATTTTATTTGTTATTTAATTGCACACGTTATAAAAAGCATGCTCTCAAGTAAAGCTATTAAATTCCGTAATTGGCTCTTCGGTGGCCCCAATTAATGTCGATAAATAATAATTAAAAAGCGATGCATGAAAATTTATAATAGAAAATTTCTTACCAATATATTTCACAGGCACTTATCTTTCCGAATGATTTCACTTTTGCATTATCAATTTCTGCTTGTGTCCGTAGCTGACTTCGGTCGTTCTGTGCCTTTCCTCCGTTCACTTCCGCGGAGAGACGGAGCATTCGACTAGTGTCCCTGAAAATTTTTATTCATTTCTGTTTCATTTATGCTGCTTTTAGTTGCTGTTTGTATTCTTTTTTATCTTTTATTCTTCTTTTCTTGTGTAAAGTTTTAATTTTCCACGTCTGTGTGTCGCTGCTTTATTTATTTTTCCAACATTTTCGAAAATATACATCGTTAATTAAATTTAAAATCATTTCTTTGGCATTTCTCACCGTCTGATGTGATCCCGTCGTTCATGTTTGCTTATTTTCTCCCAGATTTTGGTTGATTTTCGCGAAAAAGTATTGTATAAAAATACACAAGACGTAAATTTCTTTAATTAAATTTAAAAGATTTTCTTATTTATATGTTACGCGTGGTTGTCTGCTGCATCGCTTTTCATTAATTTATGTGAGCAAAATGGGGTTTATAGCTGAGTGAAAAGCTGAGCGTATAGAAAAAAATTAAATCAAAATCAGCACAATGACAAATAGATCAGCAAAAGGGATGTCATGGAGCCTTTGCCTCCGACTTGTTAGCGGAAAATGGCATTGATGACGAATCACCACTTGGCTGATTGTTCGGCCGACGAGTCGGCTATTCAGAGGTTCGGTCTGTAATTCACTGGCTATCGTATAAGCATTGTGGAGTGAATTGTGCCAAATTGAATTGAACTGAATTGAATGTCGTTGGGAATGAAATGAAATTAAGACTTCAATTGAAAATTAAAAGCACTACTAAAAACCAATCAAATCGGGGAAATATAAAATGAGAATATAAATAAACAAAATGATCTAGACCACATACATTGTGAGTTAGTGGGCGGATGTGTGCAGGGAGGAGGCAAAATTTACAGGGCCACAGTGGCAGCAGAATCAACTCATCATCGACGAATATCAATAATGGCAAGTTTACGTTGATTGACGGGCGCCAGCAATTTTGAGCAATTTATTTGGCTTGGCTATTGCGCGATTAGAGCGCAGCGACGCAACGCAACGGCGCAGCAATCAGCTGAAATAAAAGCAGAACACGCAGACAAAAAGCCAAAAGCCGAACACCAATAAAACTATATAACATCTAAGCAACAAAAGCACTAACAACCATGTAACAAGCGATAATACGTAAGCGACCAGCGCCACTTTGGCAACAAAGCAAAGGAAGCAATTAATTTTAAGCAAATATCGTACACGGGTGCAGCAACATAATTAACAGACTACCCACATACATACCTTTGTAAATATGTAAAAACGACAAGCACATACTTTATATGCTCTGAAATTTACAGGAAAAAACTATTAAAAGGCAGAAATCAAATCAAAAGAGTATAAAAATATTAAAAAACAGACAACAAGTGAAAACAAAAACAGTGTTCGTATGAATTACCAAGCCAGCGAGCTGACTCAGCCTTGCAAGGCAATTTGTGTGGCGAAGCAATGATTTGGGTTAATTGCAGCTTATTGGCTTAAATTGAAATTGCTTGCTGGTCACTTACGAACCGAAAGAACGAATGTGATGTACGCATAGATAAGCGTGTTACTTCACTTATATAAGCTTAAATAATTTTTACAGCTTTAGCTTTTGTTTGTGTTGCCAAGCAGTATTAAGAAAACAAAATGTTGTGTTAAATTTTAAAAAGCTCATTTTTTTATTATTGGCATTTCTTTAATGTTACATTTAAAATTTTTTCGTTACAGTTTCGGAATGTCAATTTGGGAAGACAGTGCGGGAGATCGGCTCCACCTGGTTCGCAGATCTTGGTCCACCATTCGGTGTCATGTACTGCATCAGATGTGAATGTGTAGCGGTAAGTGAAAATTTATCAAATATTGGCAAATCGTTTCAAATCAAATGAAAAAATTGCTGATTTTTACGCAATAATTCTACATGTAATTTATTGAGAATCACCCAATTTTTAATTATTTTCGCACATTAATATTGTTTGCATTTTATAAGAACGCTTACCCAGCTTCGCGGATCGTTTGTTTTTCTGTGCATCAGTGTGTAGCTTCTTCAATCGGCTTTTGCATACGTGAGTAAAATTCCGCAGCACCATGGCGTATGAGTAACAATTTCCCCGCTATAAGTGTATTTTATTTCTTTTTATTTCTGTTAAGTTTATTACCAATGCCGACATGATTGATACGCATTTTAAAGGTCCTTTCACAATGAAAAATTTTTGCAAATTGCGACGACAAACTATAACACAGTCCGTAGCAAGTGCCCAACCACTATGTTATAACAACAACAAGAACGATAACAACAGACACACATCTAACATTTATAGAAATTAGCACACGGAAAAGTATGCAGTTGGGACAGTAACAAACAGCGGACGACAGCCAGAAATTGTTAAACAGTAAAGAAAAATCGCATGCCAAATATAACATAACCACACTTACATACGTGTATGTAGAAAGTATGTATATGGTGTATGTACATATGAACGTAAACACCATGTGCCTTTTCCCCCCACCACGACCCTTGGTATTGGCTCAACATTTTTGAATTGTGGAATTCGGCGTTGAGTTTCTTTTCTCAGCGAATTTTTAATCTATGTTTATCCATACATAGGTTCATATACTAGGCATCATATATAATTGAATGTTTTACTTCCAAACATTTTTATACTCTTGCAACATGTTGTTACAGAGTAATTTAGTTGTGCGTATCACCTAAAACTAATCAAGATAGATATGGAGTTATGTAAATATACATGATAAGGATGACGGGACGAGTTGAAATTCGGATATCTGTCTGTCTGTCCTTACGTGCAAGCTTAAGCTGAAGTAAAAATACAGATATCTTTATGAAATCAACATGATCCTTGGCACCATAAGAAGTTTGGTGTTGTAGATGGGCGTCATCGGACCACTGCCACGTCCACAATACGCCTTAACTAAGCATGAAATTTAGACATATATCTGTAATTTGGTACAGAAGATTTTATTGGAGAGGGCCATCTATGGTCGAAAACATTTTTTGAAAGTGCGCGTGGCTGCGCCTCCTAATAATTTATATATATATATCTCCTAACCCACTCAAGCTATATGACTATATATAACGGTACCGTTAAAAACTACTAAAAGTGCAATAAATAATGAATGTTGAATTGTTTCGCGAAATTTTTTTTTTAAATAAAGTCTTCCTAATAACTGAAGGTACTTTCTTTCCTTTCATCGTTGCAAAGTTGCAAGAGTATAAAAAGTTCGGTTCCACCCGAACTTAGCTCTTCCCTACTTGTTTGTTCTAAAGCTTTTTTGGCAATTCGCAAGTGCCCTGTCGGTGACGGATTAAGTGATCCTTTGTTGTTTTTAAAAAGCTTACTTAAGTCTTAGTAGTTTACAATAAAAATTCAGTAATTATTATTATTTGAGATTTGATATTTCAAAATATCATGACTATGTGGACTATATACATGATGTGCAAGTGTGCATATACACGCTTATATAAGCTCCCTGACATCGTACTGACGGCTGATTTAATATGAATCAAGTCCACACAAAATAAATGGACTTGCGGCTTGAGGTTGGAGGATGGCGGTTGGTAACTTTAGCATTTCTTTAGCGATCTCATAGAAGTTCTTCAAAAAGAACGTGGCCTTGATTTTCTATTCGAACTTATAACATGAAGCCTCCCCTATCTGACGCCATTTATATACATACATATATATGTTTATATATATATATATACACTTATAAACAACTTTAGTTACTGAAGTCACGGTTGATAATGAAACAGCGGAGTGTGCCACGCTCGAGCGCAATATTTCAATAAAAAAGGAAAAGTATATATGCATGAGCAACATGTTGCTGCTTGACATTTAGAGCAACTAAACGCTACGACAGCATCATATCCACGCCCCACTTTCAAACCCAATATGTACTCAACTGTACGTAGCTCATGGATGTAGAGATAAAAAAGTAATCGCCAATGCGTGAACTAAACAATTGTTTTCTTTGTAATTTGCTGCAGTCACACCACCAGCATTTTTACGCCGAGCAAAAATGCAACAATAGTATTTGTAAAATGTTCGGCAACAACGACACAACAACAGCAAAAGCGTGCATGCGCCAACAGCCGGGTCGTGGAGTCGGGGTAAATTGGAGTTGCTGTTAGGCGCCAGCTGCTGTCGGTTGGCATAGTGGCGCGCCAAAACGCGTGCGCATGCGCATGTGCGCACGCCTAAACTGACCAGACAACTTACTAAGAAGGCAACAACAGCGACGGATTGAAAAGACAACTAAACAAAAAGCTGTGAATTGTGAACAAATTATAAAATTAAAGCGCAACGAATTCGAGGTGGGGAATTTGTCAACCACAAATTAGTGGCAAAAAATGTTTAAAAGTTAATTAGCGACGATATTAAGAGTTGCGTAAATCGAAATTCAGAATAAATATGCATGTATTAACACAAACTTACCTACAGCTGTATGTTAATGCCTGCTAAATATGCATATATACCTCGGCGCATTTATAAATACAGATTATTTATGTGCAAGAAATTAGATTATTTAAATCTCTACTTTTAGTTTAAAGTTAGTTTTGGTAAAAGAAATAATACGTAAAGCGCACATATATTACTATATTATGTCTCGCTCAATTCAAAAATAAAAGCATTTAAATTAGTGTTAACACTAATTAAACACAATTTGTGTTTTGTACGATTTTCTTTTCTGTTTTTTTTTTTGTTGGCAAGCGACGTATAAATACATACTTATATATATATGTATGTATATAGGCTCACATTATACAACAACTAAGAACAGATAAGAAAAAACAAAAAAAAAAGGCAAAATGGGTTAGATATGGAAAGGCATTTTAAAGGATTATTAAAGCGAAGTGCAACCCCATATTCATATTAATTATGTAATCTCGAAAGCAGACTTCAGTTCATGCTACTGTTGCTCACCGCTTCGGGCGATAAAAATTCCATTAAAACAGCAAAGCTAGCTTGCAACTATTGAACAAGGCTTTCAATATGCACGACTGAGGAGCATGAAAGCAAAAAGAATATGAAGAAGCATTTAAAAGAAAACATCGTTGTAATATGATGTGAAATCCATACCAAATGCCAAAGGAATAAAACCTTTGCAGCAATAATAGCAACAACATACATACATATGTACATTACAACAAGCGCCCAGTGCCTGCTAACAGACTGAAATGGCTGGCAGTGCATGGAGCTAATTGTAAGCAACAATCAAGCGCTTACCCTCACAAACACACATCATCCACATATACGATGTAAATTTCTACACAGCAGCTCAGAGCCACAGAGGCGCAGAAGAGCGTTATAACCTTTCTTATAACATCTATAAAGTTTTTCAGCGCAGCGGGACATTTAAAATTTAAGTTTACAAAAAGCCTGCGAATTAAATTATGCTTACAACAAAGAGGTTATATTGCCGACAAAAGCCAACGCCGCGCGGGCCAGCTATACCGCTCACCAAATACCGCCCAGCACTTGTTAGCGCCGCCAATAAAGTAGCACTCTGCAACAAGTTGTTCAGTCTACGACGGCGCGACGCGCTGAAGTGCACTCACATTTACCCACTATTGTCTGTATATATTTTGTGAATAGTTAGTTGAAAGCCGGTAGCAAAGCTTATTTCCGCTTATACGCCATTTTTACTTAATTTTTGTTACTCATTTCCTTTTTAACAAGAACTTTTCAATTATTTGGTTTTACTCTTTTTGCAGGTGCCGAAGAAGCGTCGCATTGTAGTGCGCGTGCAATGTAAGAACATTAAACACGAATGCCCACCGACATTGTGCAATGACCCAATCCAACTGCCTGGCAAGTGCTGTAAAACGTGTCCTGGCGACAAAAATGGTAAGTACGGCATTTCACTTGATTTAGTACATATAAAAGGAATTGTTCATTTGGATCGTAACCACATCAAATACAGAAGCATTGGGTGATATAGTAAAAGCGTCGCCTCTGAGTGCTTCTCAGTGATGTAAGACAATATAAGCAGTTTTTCTTACGTCATATTTAACAGTTATTTATATAACATTACAGACTGGCAGCTTCTTATATTTTTAATAAAATAAAGAATTATTTTGGGTCTTCGCATTGCCTTGCGTGCTGTCACCGGTCGCCAGTCGCTTTGCAACATTTTATGATTGTATATGTGTGGTGTATAAGATGACCTTCACAGATTTGTTTTCTTTCATATTCAAATAGCACTTTCACTCCTCCCGCTGCTGACATAAGATGAATCACAGCACACATGCAAGCTGGCGAGCGCGCGAGCGTAAACGAAAAAGCGTCTGATGGACGTTTTGTCTGGCAGCAAATAAATGAATAATAATTTCGAGCGACAGCGAAATAATCGAAAACAACTCATTTAACAGGCGTTCTCAGTGAAAGAAACACTTGTAAGCGTCTGCTACTGTGCTGCACACTCACTCATATGCGCGTTACCCTTTGCCTTGCCGCTGATAGCTGCCCTTGTACACAGTACCGTTTTTTGCTTCTCATTTTTGCTGGAGTTTTTCTTTCATTCCAAGCACTCTGAATATTCCGGCGAGTCAATATTTTGACACACTTAATTGTCATCGTGCTTACATCTAAACACATACATATCCACATGCTTATATACTCGTATATGCTAATTGGTGCTTCGGGCGGCAAGCGCTGTTGCAAAGTGGCTGCGACAACAATAAAAACAATATTTATGCTACACAAAGCATTTTTCCACATGCCGTTTGGACCCCTTAACCGCCCTCTACATATACTTATATGAATAGTGTTTGGTTTTTTATTATTATTTATTCAGTTTTCATATATCATCGAAATTTATGGCTGTGCAAATGTGCCTAGCAAAAGAAAAATTAACAAATTAAAAGTAATACATATAAATCCGGAGCTGTGACAGCAAAATTTAAGGCACTACGGCGCACGTTAATGTTTTAATGCAAAATTTCGTTTTTTATGCCAACATGCATATCCACACTTCCAACTACATACATACCTAGAGATGTACTGTTAAATATGCGGGTGTGTGTATCAAAATTAATAATGTCTGCGAAAATTTGCAATGCTTCGTATGACGGAATTTTCTGCTGCTTTGCGAAATGTGAAGAAACTACTACAAAATAACAATACTATAATATGGCTGTCATCAGTGGCGAAGATATTCAACGGCGGCGTGAGTGAGCGTAAGTGGCGTCGAAACGACAAAGTCTAATAAATTGAATTTCCAATTGCTGTTAGCCGTTATTAGTTTGTCTGTCTTTTCTTATTTGATGTTATTTCATTATTTCAAACGAACAAAGGCAATAAGAACACTGAATAGTGTTTTTAATAAATTGCGTACGTTTTTTCTTGCCTTGGCGAATGTCAAACACATATTTTCACACCAACTGTGCGTCCATTTGTTCTGCTATGCTAATATACGCAGTATTTTCGGCATTTGTGCGATAGTTCCTGAGGCATCTAATATGTCTGGAGACTAACAAAATTTAACTTCTACGTAAACAAATTTTGGCGCAGGTTAGAGGCAATAAATGCAATAAGCGCGCGTATTAATAGTGTCAGTTCCAAAAATCAGATATTAGCTCCCATAATCCTTATCGTAATAAATTTATTGAACGAAGCCCAATATGTGTTGATATATTGTACTTAACCTTATTCTAACAACGCTGAGTCCATCAATTTAACAAACCGTTTTTAACGGTAAATGCACCTCTATGCGCAGCTGCTTCATTCCGAATCGCTGTACGAACTTTGACAGTTACAGCGTTACCATTTGCAGTTGATTCTATAGCCTTTATTGACAAGTTGCCATATCTTTTTTTAAATTTATTTGTTAAGTTCTTTCAATATAGTTTTTTGTTGTGAGCTTTAAGTAAAAAATAAACTTTAATGGGCACCGTGCGCATCTGTTCGTATTTATTTTTGTTAATTTATTAAAAACTAAAATGACTACAATATTGACCGACGAATGGAAACAACAAACACCAACAACAAAAAAAGAAAAACCAGACAAAAATATATTTTTATATGAAAAAAGCAAAAAAGCGAAGAATTGTTTTTGGCCGAACAGATAAAATTAAAGCATGCGCTCTCTAAAAATCTACCCACAACACCGTTTACACGCTTGCCGCGTACCAGTTAGTATACCATATGTTTTTGTTGCTGTCACCTGTTGGTATATCGCAACAGATTTGTGTTATTGTACCTTATAGTAGTTCGCGCCGCTGGTTTTGTTTTAAGGTGGCGCTCACATTTGTATAATTCATTTTATCTCGATTTTTAATTTTCCACAATTTTATTTATAACAACAACACACGTTCTATAAAAAAAAAAACAACAACAAAAAAGTTTAAAAAATACAGAAATATAACAATTTACAAACAATAAAGACAAAAAATACGTCCACCATTTGCAGCATGTGCTGCTACTAGCGCTTAGTTGGAAATCTCACAAGTCACACTCCCCCACACAGCCCGACCGCCGCATTTATGTCACAACACAAAGTACAACTAATGACTGATGCGGACAGCAGTCAGCGGACAACCACTCACCGCTGAGGTCTAGTCACCCACTTGCCAATCCCTCAACTTATGTGCCATATGTCTCATGCCAAACTTAACACAAGTCAATTTTGGCTTTTGTCTTTCTAACTTTTTTCCATACGAATTTGCTATGCACATTTTTTAGTTTCACCATTTTTTGGCCTTAAATCATATTATGATGTGGCTTTTATCTGTGCGACAGCAGAGCCAAGGCATCGAAACCAAAGGCAGAAGATCAGCAGTGGCCACAGTAACAACAAGCATCGCTAGCCGTGTGCGATGATTCAGCTCGACTAATTTTCTGCATGAATTGAATTCATAATTAGAACTCGAAGGCGTGTTCCAAAGAGTCGCTAAGACGCTCGAAGTATGTGCAAATGAGAATACTCTGCATGGACCGAGGCAAGCAACAACACCAAAGCAACGGCATAAACGACAGAAGCTATTGAACTGTCCAAAGGCAGCGAAAATTACTCATCCAAATAGTTACGCTCGAATTAATCTCTATCGCCGTTACATTCCATCATTCAAACATACATACATACACATATACATACATATGTAAACAAGATATACTATTAGTATGAATAAGATTTGAGAATCATATGATTGGAGAGGAACGATCTCATGATAGGGATTAATCGTGTCACACAACAAATGCGTGGTGAGTGTAGTTAACGGTGTGCTTCGAAGATCTAAATCCGTCTAAGAATAATTCGGAAATATCTTCTAGAACATATCATAAATGTGTACATCTGTATATACATACATACTTCTCGGTTAGAGAAAATAATTTTTGCTACCAATTCCTTTAAACAAAATTTCGAATTCTAAATAAAACTTGGCAGAAATTCAGAGTCCAGGCACGACTGGATTTTCTTTATTTTAGATTATACGGATAAAAAATTTTAAATGGCTATTTATATAAATTATGATAACCACACCATTTTCTACCTTTATTTGTTCTAATGGTTTTATGAAAAAAAAAATTTTATTTCATGTTTATATGTATGTATATTCAAATATTTTTGGAAAAAATTGTATAGCCCGATAACGCCTCATGATGTTCGAATATTTAGTGGATTCACTCGGTTGTGCATGTCGCGCGTAGTACAATCCATTGGCATGAAGTCATTTACAGCACAATTACTTTCTGCAAACAAACTGCAGTCACAACAAGAACGCGCTGTGTGTTTTCACACTTTTATTGCCTTTTAGCACAACACAAATAGTTTCCGTGGATACTTGCAAATGATGCGTAAATTTCTCACAAATTGATGGCGGCATAAAGTCACAACAAATTTACCATCAAATGCAAGTTCGCACGAGTGTGCGTGTGCCTGTGTGTGATTGCGTGCGCGTTTGACATCTTCGCATAATGAACTGCTAAATTCCAAAGTAGCGGGCTGTTAAAAATAAATATAAGGCATTGGCAAAGGCAACAACAACGACAAACGCAAACAAAGTGACAGCAAACATCGCAAGTCGGCAGCCACTTGTGTGGCATAAAATGCAGCCGTTAGTGGCGCAGTGCGCCGCAACCAAATCAACCGCTCTCGGCTCGCCTTTCCAACTATGCTACCCCCACTCCTGGTGTGGCTGAGTGCTGCATTCATGTTTCAACCATGCGGCATCCGCTGCAACCTGAATCGCGCACACTAACCGCAACGGCAACAACTGCGGCGACAACAACAACAGCGCGCTCATAATTAAACTGGTTGGCTGCGCCCAAGCGTTGCCCGCCTGGCCGTTTGACCGACCGTTTGCCTGCACCACGTCTGTTTGTGTCGTTGTGGCATGCAACATGCTGCGCACTCATTGTAACACATCATTAGTTTGCGTTCTGTGGTAATTTTTCTTGCTTTCGGTAAACGGCAATGATCCAGTGACTTGCTATGGCCACTCCGGCGGCAACATCCTCAGCAATTTTTATGATATAATTAAAAAAAAAAAAGAAACTAACGCCGGTAGGGCGAGCTGAAGTGGGAGCGGAGGAGTGTTAACACACCGAAATGCATACGGGCAGAAACGTGCGCGCACACGCGCCGATGTGCACACAAGAAGAAAGCTGAGCTGCCGCTGTGGCAACATGAGGTGCAGATTAACTTGAACGACCTCCGGAGCTACATGCAGCATGTAGTTGCCACAACGAGCCAAAGCACTCATCAACAATGGCTCAGCTTGTTTATGTCACCGTTGTTGCTGCTCCTGCAGTTGCTGCTGCTATTGCTATTGCTGTTGCCATTGCTGTTGCTGTCGATGTTGTCGCAAACACGTCGACAATGTGCAGAGTCAGATTTGTGGTAACTACATAACCGATTCCACCCACAGTTGCGGTTTCATGTCGTTTGCTGGTGTTCCGCTTAGCATTCCTGTTGCCAACATTATGTCGTGTGCTATTTTTTCTTTTGATCGTTGCATTTGCTGTGATCGCCGTTTACATTGCGGATGCTTTGATGGCATTTTGGCAGCTTTAAACAAATTTTCATTTATCATTATGCTAAAAACAAGTTGGCGCGCGCATGTGTTTGCATTTGCCCCTTATTGGTTATCCGTGTTTGCTTTGGGCTTCTCAACGCTGCCGACCGCGCGTTGTGGCAATAAAGTTGGCGCAATTTTTAAAAATTCGTTACTGAAAATAGGATTTGCTTATTTCAATTACCCTTACAATAAGTGGATTGCCATTACAATATTTTTGCTCCCAAACTCTTGCCTTTATTTGCCTCAAAAGCACTTGGTGAAATTGTCACTCGCGTTTTTACCGTTAATTCTATCGTTTATTATGATTACTTTTGTTTGGTTCGCTACTGCAATTTCACCTACATACATGCCTTTAGTACATACAAGCATGCATATATGTAGACGTAATTACAATAATCGTCGAGAAGTTTCTACGAATAGCGCCAGAACGTTGTGGCATGCAACGCGTGTTGGGTGTGTTGTGTTGCAACAGCTGCACCCAGGTAAAATAAAACAGTTCACTTTTTATATTTTCCGTTTAACAACAGACAACAAATGCAACAAAAAACTAACCGTGCTCGGCAGCACACCGCGAGCTCCAGACTTGCACACAATTCGCCCGTTTATTGTACGCTAGCATCCGCGCATGTTTGTTTGCGCCCGACGTGAGTAACAAAATAATTGCACGTAGGAGGCTACATAAAAATGATATGGGGCCGCGGTTGCAAAGTTGCTTAAGAGTTGTTCTACGCCAATTTGCGAAGTCACTCGCTTTCCACGAACAACTCCACAGAAGGTGCAGGCCGCTACTAAAGACGCTTGCAAATCTCAGTAGAGCAGCGTCTATTAGCAGCGTCTTGTAGTCAATTTCTGCTCAACTACATAAATTCAACTCTCCAGCGATTAATTCGATATTAGCAGCAAAAATTTCTGCCAAGCGCCAATTTTTGTCTGAAATTTTCACTTTTTATACTCGCGCTGTTGCTGTCATGCTACCAACCAACCAAGCAACCAAGAGGCATTCACAAGAAAAAGAAACTGTCACTGTAAGCCCCCACCTTCTCTGTGTACGCTGACATACATGTTTGTATTTGTGTTTCTTTGTGCACCATCGACCAACTGCTTCGCCATTTTCTGCCACAGCAACAAAGTGGCGCAGCAATTTTCACCAGCAACACACGTCGGCGTAAGTGGCCATAACAATAACGTGCAAAGCGTCGGCTTATTATTTATGTTGTTATTGTTGTTCTTGTTGTCATCCCATTAAACGCTTGTTGCTTATTTAATGTCCGCTGAAGCTGCTGCACGTCCTTGTTGGCCGAAGTTGGCAGGCAGTCACACTGATGCAGCAACAATAAACGCCGCTACATTCACCAAAGATGAATTGCAGATTTAACTGCAGCAATGATGCTTAGTATTTTGCGCCATGACAACAACAATAACAACAACAACAGCAGCAACGGTAATGACAAGCATACAAATATACAGCAGTCATCTTTAATGGCATTAGTATCAATAACAACAACACCAGCAAGCATTCAGTCGCAGACTTAGACAAGTTGTGGCAGGCAATGTTCATAAACTCGCTATTGGGATCTGCCGCGCCGCAGGACTGACAGCACGTTTTTAACAAGCGTAATGGCTGCGTGGCAAGCATCAGCGTCGTTGAGCTTCATTTTTTAATATCATGTTTTATTTTTTGGTTTTGCTAATTCTTTGAAAATTCAACTAAAGTTCATCACTCGCTATTGCGCCTCAATTATACGCACATATTCACTCCGGCGAGTTGGAGTATCACTCAATAATTTCATATGCTTAGCCTACAACTTGCACACGCTCATATACATATGTACTTGTATATATACAAGTATGTACATGCTTACGTAAATAGTTAGTTTCATAGTTTGTTTGTTGTTGTTTGCTTTAGTTTTATTTTTATCATTACTTCTGAATATAATTAAGTACACAGCATTTTATTCGCTGGCGTTACGGCTACCACTACCATAATTGTGGTTGTTGCTGCCGCTGCTGCGTTAACGCTCCATCATCAACACAATTGCTTCGTTAAAGTCGTCCATTTTTGGTTAGAAGGAATGTTGGTGCATCGGCGAAATGCCAAGGCGAGTTTGCCATGCGGCCGAGGAATGAACGGGCAAACAGTAAACGAACCCTTCCACACAAACATTTCAACACAATATGGAAACGGAACAAAGATCTAGAAAAGGAGTGATAAGTAAAAAAAAAGTTAAAGAAAGAGTTCCGAGGGTGGCCGAACGCAAAAGATGAAATCTTTATTTAAAAAAGATTTTTAATAAAAAAAAATTTATCTTACCAAACAAAAATAAATACAATTTTATGGAATTACAATAACTACGCTTACAAATATAAAGCGCTGTCTATGCATTTATCGAAATGCTAGCTAGAATGGTTAATACAACTCCAACAAACATGAAAGCATCCAAATATAAAGTGGAAGAACGCAACGAAGACACACATTGCCTTATTTAGTTAGTCGACACATAGTCAGCCATACCAAATACCATAGCAATCGATAGATGCCAAATTGTGTGCATATGTGAGTGCGTGTGGCGGGCACCCATTTTTGAGCACTTTTACCTGCAACTTCTGCGCCATATTCGCACATTTATCAGCGTCCTCATCATCGGCAGTGGCGTAGAATTTGACGGAGCGCCAAGATCACACACACATGCACGTAAACACACACACTTCCCAACTCAAAGTCATTGTAAACATCATCGCCAAGCGTTGTTTTGTTGTTGTTGTTTTTTTATTACTCTCGCCGCATTCTTCTGTTATCGCCGTCGCTCACGTTTCATTGTTAATTTATGCAGTTTAATAGTATTTTTATAATGACATAACTCGAGCATTTTAACGCTTATTAAATTATCTCATTTAACTGAACACTGCCATAAGCTGTTTAACATTATGTCCTACCAGCCAACCGACCAACCAACGA